TAACGGCTCATTACAAATTTTCAAACAACTGCAATTATTCTGAGATTTTGAAAGGGCAAAAATCTTGCATACACTAATATAAGTGCGGAAATAGCATGAAATTACTCAGATTGGAGGCAAAATTTTAAAAGATTTTCGGGGGTGGCCCCCCGAACCCCCCAGACCCCCCTAAGATAGTTCACTAAAAGGGGGGCCCACCGATGGATGTGGGGGGCCTGGTTCCGGCTTTTTGAATGGCTATAGGTCTGGATACAACTATTCGTGTTCTTGGGATGTCTGTGTTGCATACCAAACGAATTGCAGGCGCTCTGGCTTTCTTTAGCAGATCGCACGACTGCGGTTGTTAGTTCTGAAGGGTTTTCCACGTTGAATTTACAGTCGTGTTTACCACGAAGTCCTCGGCGTTCGAAAGCGCCGTGTGGCATAACAGTAACGTTGTCGTATGGTTGAAATTTTCCACCAAAAACATTTCCACAGAGGCATCGCGGACACGTAATTTACTGCCGATAATGTTTCCGCATATTGCACCATGTTGCAAAGTCATAGTGCCACATGACTTATCAGGCTCGGATTTACATATTTGCCGCTGGGAGAAACGGGAAAATTGCTGTCGTTCCTAACTTGCGTGGAACGTGAATAAATTCGGGGGGGATTGGCAGAAGAATGAGCTCCGGAAAGTTTGAAAATTACTACTACCCACCAACGCAAAATTAGAAAGCCGTTTTCAACAGAGAAAATGTTTTATAAAAGTAAAAAAGTTCGAAAAATGCACTAATAGAATATAATTTGCCGGCGTCTCATCAAAAGTTCACATGGAATACCTACTGTCGGTTAAAAAATATTCTGGCTTAAAATTTCTTCACAATGCTTGTGAGTGTGAAGTTGCTATTTTTGAAGAAGCGGGGTTACTTTGTTCCTGCGAAAAATAGTTTTTCATAACCCGCCATACAATGCTCTGGTTTTTAGCCATCATGATTTTCGAATTTTAAAGATTTGACTGGAATGATTTCCCCTATTACTAAGTTTCACAAAAACCGACAGGAGCCGAGATAACATTTTAGGCCACGGCCGCCATCTTGAGTTTACGAATTTTGGAAATTTGACTAGAAATTTGAGTTTTTCGTCGAAAAATACCACGTTATACCGAGTTTCACCGAACTCGAACGAACAGAAACCGAGATAGCATATTAGGCCACGTCCGCAATTTTGGAATTGAGAAGTTTTAAAAATTGACTACAAATTCGAGTTTCCCATCGAAAAATACCTCCTGACACCGAATTTCAGAAAAATCCATCGAACAGGAGCCGAGATAGCATTCTAAGCCACTTCAGTCATTTCGGATTTTCGAATTTTGAATTTTTTGAATTTTGACAGATTTTGATTTAAAACGCGTAATACTCAAAATCGAAGCTCGGATTCGGATTCCTCGTAAAAAATCGATGCGATTTCATGTATCATACCCTGACACCGAGTTTCATAAAAATCCATCGAACAGGAGCCGAGATAGCATTTTTAGCCACGTCCGTCATTTCGGATTTTTGAAGTTTGCAAATGTGACTTAAAACGCATGATACCCAAAATCGAAGCTCAGATTCGGATTCCTCGTTAAAAATCGATGCAATTTCATGTATCATACCCGAGCATAGCGTGGAGGAAAGAGACGCAACGTAGGCATAAGTACTGATTCGAGCATATGAATGCAACGTGGCAACATGGGTAGTGCTCAGTGGGTCAGCGGAGGAGGAAGAATAAGAATTTATCGGGAGGAATTCCTCGCGACGAAACCGAACGCTTAGCCGGCGCTTAGCGGCGCCTCCCCGTTCGGTTTCACTCGGGCGACAGGCGGCGGCGTAGTTCAAACGGGTAGTATGACAGAATCTAAACGCGTCGTTAAACCTTTTTCCTTCACGCTATTCTAACATATGATACATGAAATCTCATCAATTTTTCACGAGAAATCCGAATCTGAGCTTAGATTTTGGATATTACGTGTCTTAATCTATTTAAAATCGTAGGAAAAATTACAGAATTGTCCTTGAAAATTGATCACACATTAGTGTTTTTATACGTCATTATACATCTTTCCTTCACGCTGTTCTAACATATGATGCATGTAATCGCATCAGTTTTTCACGAGGAATCTGAATCTGAGCTTAGATTTTGGATATTCCGCGTTTTAATCGATTTAAAATCGTAGGAGAAATTACAGAATTGTCCTTGAAAACTGATCACACATTAGTGTTTTTTTACCCCGTTTTCCTTCTGCGTTCACGTAATGAAATTAGACCAACAGTTGACTCATCGACTAGTCTAGCCTAATCCCCCAGAATCGGTCTAAAGGGCGAACGATTTTATCAGATAAGATGTGCGGTCCNGGATACTGGGTCCCTGGTTCCGGGGCCCGGGCACTGGAGAGGCCCGTGCCACTGGTGAAAAACCACTACGAATTCAGATGTAACCCTTGTCTCGTAAGGAAAAATGAAAAATTTACCCTAAAAATTTCGCAAAAGGTGAATAAATTTTCAAAAAATGCTGGGGCACTGTGGAATTTTCCTCACTGCTTTGAAGATTTCTATCTATTTTCAAGATTTTTAGTATAAATTGATATTTTTAGTAATGCGTTTCATTTTCTTCCGTCGTCGGATGCTAAGAGTCTCCAGTCTGGGCATCCGCGAGTTCAATGGCTCAACTTCCTTGCCATATAGACGTACGAAAGAGGACTCCAGGGAGGCTTGGACCACCCTAGAATTGAAAATAGTATCATCTGCCCCCCCTCCCGAAAAAAATTTCCAGGTGTTTTGAATGCAACAATCCGACAGTATTTTGTGCTAAAAGTAAAAAAAAAAACGTAATTATTCTGCAGAAATTGATGGAAAATCTCTTTCATGGGAGCTTCAAAATGCGTCCAATACAAGTAGATTTAAAATTTTAAAAATATTGTCGGGGGAGGCCCCCGGACCCCCTCTGTGCTGGGGGCCCGGGCCTTAAAACTGGTACCAGGGCCCGAGATAGGATGTGGCGGGCCTGCCTGACATCTAAGTTTTGTGCGTATGCCGAATGATAGGCAAAAGAGAAAAGAGAGATTTCTATAATTGAACCATCGGAGCAATTACGCTCACTATTTTTACCAAAAAACGAGAACATATGAGGGGCTTGAAGGCCAAGGCACATAAGTGCAGTTTTTAATAAAATTGAGGTATAAATGATTTCAAGTAAAACTAGTCTTAGTGCATACTGTGTGAAAAATTTGCAGTTTGTAAGCATCAGTCAGTTTGAACTGTCTCTTTGCCGTAAGGATCCATGTAATTTCGAAACTTCAAACACGTATTTCTGGAAATAGCAAAAACTGCACTTACACACGACCTTGTCCTCCAAGCCCCGCATATGGTGTTATTTGCTTGATGCTTACCCTATTCTCCGACCTCAGTTTGACGATGTCGCTCATTGTGAGAAAGCGCTCGCTGACGTCGAACTCGTTCCATTCCCGCGCCAGGTCCAAAATCGAGGCACGGGTTACGCCCGGCAGGATGAGACCATTCAAAGGCGGGGTACTCAACTCGATTCCTGAAAAATAAACAAAGAAAAATATAGGATACCTACACTTTTAAAAAAGTTTTAAGGCATCGTGCATATTACTCGTTTTTAGTGTATTTTCCGAAGGAAATACACTATTTTTATCACTTACGCTCAAAACCAGGGGCGGACTGGCCATGGGGGCGGGGAGGCGATCGCCTCCTAACAATTTGCCGCGGAGGTCCCGAATGGGCCCCGCGGCGAATTTTTTCGTTTTTTCCCCCCGTAATGTTGTAATTTTCCTATCCTTTTCTGTCACTAAAAGGCCCCAAAATCCTTGAAAATTTGTCTCTAAGAGACATGAAAGGTCGCCTGGAGCTATGTGATGAAGGGGCCCCCGAGGAATCCTGAGAATGGGTTATTTTGAAGTTCAGGAACTGTGGAATTTTAACTCCAATAATGCTTAAAATTACGTTTAAAAAGTGTGAAATTTTCAAAATTTTTCGGGGGAGGGCCCCCGGACCTTCTTAGAGGGGCCCCCGAACGACAGGAGGGGCCCCCACATTTAGGTCGCCTCCTAACTTTTCGACTACCAGTCCGCCCCTGCTCAAAACAGTTCTGAATTTCTAGTCAGATCAACCCAAGTAGCACATAGAATGCGATAATTACATAGGTAGTCAAAATATTGCAGTCCCACTGAGTGTTGTGTGTGTTGCCTAGCTTCTTATTTGAAGGGACCCCATTTATTGAAAATTATCGCAATAAAATTGAAATAACTTGTAATTATGTTCATTGCACTGCATACCTATAGTCTATCTTTCTGACACATTGAGCATGGAGCTCATTTTGCAGTTTGTTTAAAATCGGCATAACTCGACTAAATGATGTAAAAATATTGCAATTCAATGGTGAAAAAATTGCAATTTTATTAAAATCAAATTTATTATTTAATTCCAATATTTTCGTTGCACTGTGCTACTTGGGCAGCAAATGTCATCTGTTGACCGCATCTTTCCAAGTAGCACAGATTGCAATGAGTAATGATTACGATATGGTACAGTAGGTAGTTGCCTCCGCATTCGAGTGGTGTGTATGTTGCCTATCTACTAATTGAAGGGACTCATCTTGCGGAGCTTAAATGCAATGCAATTTAAACAAGTTGAATTAAAGTATCTACAAAGTTTGAGTTTAGAGGGTTGTCCCCTCGAAATTTTATCCGTGGCAAAAAGTAGCTCTTATTGACCTTAAACACCCTTCAAATTTCGTTTCCGTAGGTAGAAGCGGTCAAAAGTTAGGGGGGGTGGGACGGATCTTTCGGGTCATTTTTAGGCCGCCATTTTTTTTAAAATAAAAAAAGGCATTTTTGGGAAGCCGTAGGTAGGTACCTACCTCCATATTTCCATCATCGGATGGAATCATCCATTAATAGAAACATGGAATCATCCATTAATAGAAACCATCCATTAATAGAAACATGGAATCATCGGATTCCACTTTTCATGACTAATAACCCTCGAGCATTAACGTTAGGTAATGCAAATTCATGGGAGAACAATGAAGTAGAAACTCATTTTTTCTCGTTATCCGCCCTTTGCCTATGACAGCTATATCGAAAAATTGTGTTTTTTAAAGGGAATACTTCAAAAATCTGGTATTCCCGAGTCAAATATAACCCTCGGACAATGGGTCTTACCTACTCAAATTCACCGGACTTGGGAATGGAATTTTTTTTAATCTATTTCGAACTTTGACTGGCCGCCATCTTGTCAAAGCTCAAAATTGCGACCAGTAGTTTGCGCCAAAAAATTTCTTTTTTATCCTCTTTTGATCGAGGCATCACAAGTAGGGATTGCTGGGGTTACCTTGTGGGGAGTCTCGAAAATTTCGGGGTCCCCAAAAGCAACTTACATTGATCCGTAAACATCCAGAGAGTTTCTTTTCAAAATATGAATGAAGTAAAATTTCTGATGGAGTGGACCGGACTGTTGGGACACCCTGTATCACTTGTGTAAATTTCGGGAGAATTAAACGCAGGAATAGGAAAGTGAACGAAATAAACCGGAGAGTTACGAAATGATTATGCGAATGTCCCCTTTGTTTACCCTTTTGGAGATGCATAGGATTGCGCGAATATTTCTGGTTCTAAAAACTCTCATATTTGCGCGAATATTCAATATCCAACGAGGAAGCGTTAATCTTGCAACTTTGGTAGTTCGTGGAAGATAACTACATCGTGGTAGACTATTCATTACTTCTTCACTTTCGCGGACGTCTTTCTTCGATAGATAGCCCTCGCAGCACGAATAGCCCAGAGAGCTTTCATAGACTTTTATAAAGTGAACTCGGGGCCTATGTGGCCGCTACGCAGCCGCCAACCATTAATAGATTTACACGTAAAAAATCTTAGAGCAAGCATTTCCAAGTTTTTTAGGAGATGAATGGATTCGAAACCAAACCGGGTGCACTCGAAAGAAAGCGTATACTTTGCTTTGATTGCAACGTTATGCACCACTTTTATGTTTTATGTTTAATAAATGTATTTAAAAAGCTACACACGGTTTTTCTGAAAAGTTTCCGCGAATTTACCTAAATGATCTTAAATAAAGGTATCGAAAATTTCGACGCGATATTTTCGTTCGTTCTAATTTCTTTTAACATAATCAAAAAACAAAATTAAACATCATCCGAGTTCCTGAATCGTTACAATGAGGATACATATTTTCCCTTTAATTACGGTAAAAACTGGAGCAGAAAGTCATGAATGATGACACGCAGCTCTACAGCATTCCTGCAGTCTGACCGATTGCACTGCATTTGGCGCAATGCGGGAAGTATTCATGCAGTCTTGTAGGCGCTAATGTGCGCCGCGCCAACCGCACTGTTTGACGCAATGCGTGAAGTACTCTTAGAGTCTTGCAGGCGCTAATATATGTTTAACGCCGGCCGCACCGTGTTCGGCGCGATAATTCGAACTAGCGTTACAATAATCGCGGCATCAAATAATAGAGCTTGAAAGGCCCATGTTGTGTTTCGACGCCGCGCGCCGTATGAGCATTCCAACGTTGCCTCGTTTCTCCCGATTAAATATTTTTTCCGAGAAAAGTTAGGAAAGTTCTTTATACCCACGACCATTAATTAATCTTTTCACTTCATTTATCATCGCAGAAGGTAAGACATCGATGACTTGTCAACAAACTAACCTAAACTGGCGTTAACATGAAATTGCGCATCCTGTTTTGCTAAACTTTTACCTTAAATTAACTTCATTTGAAATTCGCGCATTCCTGTAGCAGATGTTAAGGTTTCTATTCGCGCAATCCTTATATATTTTCTTAGACCTTTCGCGCAATCCTGGATTACCGATCCGAAGAATATTTTAAGATCAATAAATATCCAGAGACCGTACCATCTTAGAATACCTTCAGGTATCCTGAAAAATCGATAAGTTTGGATTTTTAAGGATATCATCAGAAAATCCTGACGGCAAATCGGCGTCGGAGGCGGCGGCGACCAGTGGCGTGGCGTGCTTTGCGATGTATCGATTGTTATGCCATTTAAACCTATGGTAAAGAATCGATCATTAAGGTGTTCGCTGCGAACACCCTAATTATCGATCCTTTTCCATAGGTTTAAATGACATAACAATCGACGTATCGCAAAGCACGCCACGCCACTGGCGGCGACATATATGGAGACGCTGAATTTTGTGCGTATCTCATCTGGAGAGTAAATGATAACTGCATCTGATCGTAGTTTGTTTAGCCTCACATCAATATGGACCATATTAATTAACGAAGTAGAAAATTAAGAACCACGATGTATGTATACCCTAATAAAATTTTCTCATTGAATGCGGAGAACAAATTGAAAATTTCCAAAAATTCTTGAATGAGGGATCAACACAGACTCCAGATTCAAACGCCTCCCTCGTCAAAAATCCAAAATCCACACGATTCAAAAATCAATCGCTGTATTAATCCTAGCGTGTTTTACGATGAAATTATTTCTCCGAGATAGAGAAATACATAGAGACAAAATAGATGAATATTTTCAAGCATTTTAGGAACTATTTTCTTTCTACGTTCTACGCGCTTTCTCGCGAATCTTGTCAATTTCGAAATATTTTTAAGAATAATTTTTGCCCTAGAAAGTAGGTAGAGCATATTATGACCTCAAGGAACAATTTGAGCGGGTTTACGCTTGCCAAAAGACCGCCGTATCATCAACACTGAGAAAGCGTCTACGTAACAAAAATTGTATCTCTCTAGTTTGAAGGCAAATCGCATTCACGCGGAACAGCGCATCGGGCATCACCGTATCAATATCGAACTGTCGGCTATTTCTCAATCCTCATGGTTCTCGTCAACTCGGAAAGATTTTTCCATGCAATCATCACCTCTGTTTGTCATCAGTCAAACGAATATTTGAAAAAAAAAGTTGACAAGTAGATAATTGTTGCACGAGGGCAGAGGCAAGATGAGGTAATAAAGAAAACCAATGCCGGATAACGTGCCTGCTTCCAAAACATCCAGTGGCGTGGCGTGTTTTGCGATATATCGATTGTTATGCCATTTAAACCTATGGAAAAGGATCGATAAACAGGGTGTTCGCAGCGAACATCTTAATAATCGATGTTTACCATATCTTTAAATGGCATGACAATCGATATATCGCAATTCACGCCACGCCACTGAAAACATCCCGTGTTGCCGTGTTACTAACCGTGACCGTGAGTTTCAGCCTTCTGTCGGCGCCGATTTGTCCCATCGTTTTGTACATATTTACTCAACTTATGCTCGGAATAAATATCAGGTGCTGTCTCATCATCCATAAGACTGTGTTTTGCGATATGTCGCATTTTATTCTTAAATGTTTTCCTCCATGCGGTAGGTAAGTGAACTCTTACAGAATACTTATGTGGAAATGCCGATACGGCGAAATTGCAAAATTTTATCCGATTTTTCTATGGAGGGTAGTTCATCTTCTTCAAATTACTGTTTGCAAATTTTGCTCAAAATATTTTAGCCAAGATCACCCGGAGTTTACTCATT